AAGTTAAGTTAAAATGAACTCCTATTTCAAATTTAGAATATTGAAATTAGTTTTTCTATAAACTGACACTGACAACATAACAGAATTAATTTTCTGTCAGATTTTTTAAAGTGGGCTAACAATCATAAAACTCTAAGCATGAAGTGATTAAAGAATGAATCTAGGATGATCCTGAAAAAAGTACAGTAAATCTCATTAGTTATATACAATGAAGATCAGTGAATCTTATTAGTTATATACAGATGCATCCAAAAGTACAGGCAGTCCTCAATTTACAACTCCTGGTTTAGTGACTGTTTAAAATTACAATGGCACTTAAAGAAGTGACTTATGACCATTTTTCGACTTATGACTGTTGCAGCATCCCTATAATCTCAATCAAAATTTGGACACTTGGCAACTGACTCTTATTTATGACCTTTGCAGTGTCCTGGGATCATGTGATTATCTTTTGCGACTTCTGACAAGCAAAGTCAAAGCCAGAGTCTCTTAACAATTGTGTTACCAACAACAACTGCAATAATTCACTTAGCAACTGTGGCAAGAAAAGCTGAAAAATGTGGTGAATCTCACTTAACAATTGTTTAGTTTAGTAACAGTAATTTTGGGCTCAATTGTGGTCATCAGTCAAAGATTACCTGTATTGGTACCTCTCAATTTTTCATCCCAAATAATTCCAATTTGCCATGAAATAAATTGAAACTAACTGAAGTAAATGGCACCCACTATTCTTTGATCCACAGACCATACAGGAGGCTCAATTGATGTATGACTTGAATGTAGTCATACATCAATGAAATTTTTCTGTATGAAATATGGAATAAAGAATGTTCGTTTATATTTATTTCTTGTCAAATTAGGATTCTGTGGGGAAAGAGGGATACATTTAGTCAAGTTGCTATAATTTATTACATTTTATTCCAACTTTATTACTTTATAAGTAACCCAATGCAGTGAACATATCTAATACCTCTTCCTTCTATTTTCCCCACAACAGTTAAACTGTAGAAATTATGAAAGGATCATTGGCCTAATGCAACAAAATCCTTAGGAATTCATTATTTGATGAATATCTTGCCCTTATTTTGCATGACTCAAGGTGGCATACATAATGCTTCCTCCACCCATTTTCCCCCAACATTCCTGTAAGTGGAGTTGGGCAAAAGTTTATTTTCTACCAATACATTCATATTTTTTTAAACGATATTTGTCTAGCTCCGTGTTTCTTTACCTTGGAAGCTTGAACATATAGAGTTGAACATCTTCAAATTGCTAAGGTTGAGAAACATTGCAAGGTACTCATTCTGATATAATTTTATTTTATTTACTTTATGGAGGCATTTTAAAATTAACTGGCATCAGAAACAGGTGATTTATTTTCTATTTATTCATGTAATTAACTAATAAAGTTTAAATGTTCTTTTCAATTAGAACTTCTTCATAGCCAATTGTATAAAACCTTATTATTTTCCATCTAAACATGATCCATTCTCATTTGAAAAACCGAATATATGAAAAAAACACAAAACCTTTATTCCAATAAAGCAGTATCATTGACTATTTGAAAACTACAGTTATTCATTCACAGTACAAAATGGTAGGAATTTCTTATATCACTGTACATTTTACATATTTAAGAGTTAACAGTTTTAAAATTTGATATCAATAGATTTGTTTCAAAGAACAGCAAAGGTTCAATAAATCAAAATAGAATTTCATGTTCCAAATATTTATCTCATACAAACCACAATGAACTAGAGTAATATCATTTTACACATAAGAATTTGAGTGCTATATCATTTTAAACATAGAAATTAATGCTTAAATAAAGACTGAACAATTAACTATCAAATAATTTCAATCAGGCCTGAGTCCTCTCTCTTTCTCTCTCTCTATAAAAACACATATAAGGAACTTGTATATGTTTAAGAAGTTGATTGAAATCCAAGAAAGTTTAGGAGTAATCCTAGACTAATAATTCTTATTTATTATATACAATGGTTTTGAGTTCAGAATAATGAATCACACAATGAATCATTATATATTACACAAACAAAAGCTTAATCTTTGTAGGATTGCAAAATGTGTTTTGAAAATTATTTTTTAAAATCTTGTGCTACACAAGCAGATCAATATTTAGAAAATATCCACAAAGTCGAATTGGAAGTATGCCATTAGAGTATTATTTTATTTTAAATATTGTATTGGCCTTTTGTTGGTTACATTAAGACTGATGTAGCCATAACATTAACAGGTATAAGCAATAATTTTTATATGGATCACCCCTATGGAAAACTATAAGTGCGTGTCACACATCACTGTACAGAAATCAAATATCAGAAGCCTTCATTATAGTATATATGTTTAGTAGATTTATTTCACTATAGTAAGACCAAAATATTGGATGTACTTTAAAAGAAACTTGTTTATCCAATTCAGCAAATCCATCTATACACCTTCTGTTTTAAATGTAAAACACAGAATTGCTACAGAAGGAAAAAAATGAATTTTATAATTTTAAGTTCAGAAAAAACATGAGAATTGTAATGTTTACTGAAATATTTTATGTTACTTTAATTTTACTACTCTAACTTTTCTGATCGAGATCAGCATCCATTAGACTGGTTCTCTTCTTTTGCAAAGATAATTTCTTATGGCTACGGCTCAGTGGCCTGTTTTATTTAGCTTAGTAGATAGAACTTGATCCTACTTAATGAGATCAAAATTGGTGTTATCTAAAAATATTTGCCTTCCAAACTTCTGAAACCATTTTTAAAAACAAAACTTGATTTTATTCTGATTAATGAAATCATTTTTTAAAAAGGAGAACTGATGAAGTATTTCCTGAAGGAAAAAAAAATGCTTTCTCCATGTATAAAAATGCTTCAAGAACTTTTATACCACTGAAGGCTCCCTCTTCCATGTATAGTCTTACATTAAATGAAATTTCCACTGTACAAAAGAACAGTAAAAATTCTTATCATTAGTTACTATCAAAGCTCTACAAGTTCCAGTGGAATGCAAGTTTTATTAGTGGGGTGAAGCCAAAGCAAACATTTCTATGGCTATTTTAAGAAATTCAGATTACATTATAAAAGCTATATATTTAACAGACAACAGAATTGTAAAGATATACTGGTATTTTATATATTTTTTTTGTAAAAGTTTGTTTTCATATATTATAGGAAACTTGTATCTTCAATATATTTATCTTTTTAAAAAATTGTTTTAACATTTGGGAAATCCTTCTAGGCCATAAATAAGAAATTTAAAGAAACCTGGAACTATACAAAGAACTGTAGATTTAGCATTCATAATTTTACACATGTGGCTAATTAAACATACCTCAACAAAATATTGACTGTATATAAATAGCACAGGTGATTTTTTTTGTGATAAATAATATTATCACTGGTCCAAAGATACAAAATAAAAGTACTAAGACAGAAAAATAAAGCAAGTCCTTAAGATATATTTAACACCATTACTGTTTATAATGAAAATATAATTTAAGAAAATTCAATTCACATTCACAGCATAAGCACCTTTGGTTTCTTAAGCAGCAAATGGAAAGTTTCATCAATGAAAGGTACTGAAAATAAAGTGTTAGCTTTCTTTCCAACAAAAAGGCTACACATCTTCTCAATATAATTTGCTACATTCCAAAGAATTGTGTATGAAACTCACCAATGTTCTGGGAAAGAAATAATGGGGGGGGGGACTTCCCTTTCCCGCTATATAGCAGAATTTACTATTGGTTTTTACTGAAAGAAAGCTTTTACACTGAGAACTGTATTCAGATGAAAGTTGATTGTTTTCTCCAAGTTGAGGGTAAAAGTTTATTCTTCTTATATATTCCGACAGGGCCTCAATGAGGAAAAAATACATTTCAATAAATAACATTGTCTTATTTAAAGCTCTGCTACTTAAACCTGAAGAAACATCAAGGCCAATGGCAATCAAATCTGATTCCTTAACAAATATTTATCTGAAGACGTACTGCTTGCATTTTAAGTATCCAGAAAAATTACCAGCTTTGCTGCTCAATTGACTTCTGTTCATCAATATGCAACTAATTATTTTAATGGTTGGATGTTAAATATAACAAGAGTGATAAAATTAAGTTTTTTATATAACATTTTTAAAATTTATGCCAAAAATGTAAATGCTTTGGTTGGGCAGACATTAGGTAATAAGAGGTAAATCAGAGCATTCATAGTTTGCAATATTTTTCAATATAGAAGACCGCTATTCTACAAATATTTTCAAAACACTCTCTATTGGGGAAGAATGCTGTAGGGTAAATAACTGTGATTTTGTACACCAATCAGAGCTCTCGTATTTTCCCAGAAATACAATATTAATACGTTCAACCACAAGTCATTTTTTATTTCTAACTAGATGTCATATCAAATTCAGACAGAGCAAAATTCAAAAGCCTAGGTGTAGCACATACTTCAGATGCATATGCTGGATCCTGGATTGGTGACAAATCATTTGCTTGTATTTGTACAAATATACAGTAATTAGGATATCGAAAGGAAATGTAACAATTGGTCTGCTGTATAACAGGTGATATAGTATTTATAGGGTTATTGGATGACACATTTGTTGTTGGCTACACGTTGGCAATTCCAGTGAAACTAACAATACTAAAGAAATCCTGGCTTATGTAACAATTTCCATGCCCACTCCAGAAGGCTGAAATCCCACATTACTACCTAGTCCATCTCACTTAGTCCACACAATTTCAGGTCTTCTGCATTTGCAACTGGGAGTAAATTATCTGACCATATTTATCAGTAGAAGATAGCAAGAACAACCAGCATATAAATGCCTAAAACTGGTAGGCATGCAGTCTTTATTTATTAATCATAACTCTGGGTGCTCAGATTGATACAACCTGATTTAAAAACAATAAAATTAGGGGCAGAGGCTTGTAATTACTTAAGAAAAGTAAAACAGATAGACAAATGAAGGATATTAATGTGGAAATATATTCATGTTCATTTCATTATATCAAATTTACCCAAATCAGCTTTTTAACAGGCATAAAACAATGTTAATCATCTTGCTCACAATTACAACTATTATCCAAAGAGGTCATTTAAGTCCTTGCTAGCTGAGCTGCTGTTTACCATGCTGTTTGTTGGTTGTGTAAAGTTCTGAGGATTAAAGAAAGGATTTCCCTGTAAGCCAAAGCCAGTTTGTCCCATTACGTTCATTTGTGTTCCCAAAGGACAACTGTTGGTACCCTGAGGAGGTGTAAATTGATTAAGCCATTGGTTTGTTTTCTGTTGTGACAACTGATTCATACTAACTTTGGGTTTTTGAGGCCCAAATAGGCTATCTAAAGAAGACATATCAGGTGGTCTGCTTTGCTGCAAAGCTGGCGAAGTAGTGTTCAAAGAGCTATAAGATGACATGTTTGATGTTGGCAACATATTCATGTTAGCCATTCCAGTGACCCCAGTATTACCAAAGAAATTCTGGCTTGTGGTACCAATCCCCATGCCAAATCCAGAGGGCTGAAACCCCATATTAGCATTTAGTCCATTTCTCTTCGTGTTTTCAACAGATGATGAAAATCCCATTCCAATACCAACTGAAGAAAAGCTAGTTGAAGAAGGAACTTTAGGTTTGTTGATGGGTTGAGTGGTCAATGAAGCTATGTTATCTCTCAGAGTATCGGTCAAGTCCTTTGTCTAAAAATATAATACAAGACAATTAAAATTATTTTACAGCAGCATCAATTGTTATCAGTTAAACAATAAACATCAGCGAAATAATTTTATTTTAAAAACTATAGACATAGTTCTTGACTTATGACTGTAATTGAGCCTTCAATTTCAATGGTAAGTTGTGATGGTCATAAAGCAGGACACCACATTCCGCACCAAATTCTACAATTGCAGTGGTCTTTACGATAATATGGAGGTAACAAAGCAAACACGTTTATTATGGAGCATTTTGTTCCAAAACCAGGAAGTAAAGACTGGTTTCTGTCAAATCACCATAAATTGCAGTCAATAATTCTTGGAAGCTGCAAACAAATGTAAATGCTGGCTGATTACCAAGCATCCAAAATATGGTCACATGACCAGGGGGGAGGGTAGAACATCAGAACTTTGAATCCAATTATAGGTAGCTTTTTCAGGGTTTGTGGCAAATTTGACTACTCATTAAGCGACTAGTCATATGTCAAGGTCTACCTGCATATTATATGTGGAAGGCAAAGGCAAATTTACAACATCAGCATGGTAATTGTTTTTATAAGCAGATGTTTAGATGATATCACATTCCAATTGAATAAAACACCCACTCCTCTGCTCCAGCATATTTCTAGTGTTTTAAATGTGCTATATTTACACAATACTTTGCTTTCACTATTTGCCTCTTGAACACAGTCTAAATAACTGTGTACATTGTAATGTGGCTGCTACTGATAGCTAGAACAAATGAATTATTGTTGGAAAACTATGGGCTCCTCATCCATTGTCTGTAAAGAAGGCTAGTATTTATAACTTTTGTTAAGAAAAGATCACGTTACCAAATGTTTACATTAAGATTAGGTAGACAACTAACAAAGACTTTACAATCTATCTCTACTTTTAGGGGAGATTGCTTAAATCATTTTCTGAGATGTTTAAACATAGCTGCTGAACTGACTTTTTAAAATTGCTACTAAGATTTTACTGCTTCAAATTTGTACTCAAATATATTTATGAAATTAATCAATCAGTCAATGGCACCCATACCTGTTTCACTGGTGCAATAATTGCATGAGGCTGGGGTTTAAGTGGCTGTTGGTTTTTCAGTTTTTGTGCTTGTTCCTGTTCCTTTGCTAACTTCTGCTTTTCTTCAAGTGTAAGTGACCCCTTCAAAAGAACACATTTGTTAATGGATAGTGTGAACCAATTGTCGCTAACTAGCTTTACTAAATCAGCAAGACTAACAAAGCAGAGTTAGAAACGTTTATTCAAATGAGAATACCTGGGTCATTTTTTGGACACCAATCTGATCTACTTGATGTTTGCATCTCAGCCAAACCTCAATTTTTCTATATACAGAAAACACACAGCCTTTTTTCCTTGTCTGTCTTTTTAAAAATAGAATAACAACATTTACTTTTATGACCTGAATTATTATAGTAGATTATTGGGAATAACTGCCATTTTATATAAAGTCTATGAAAATATGGATATAAGGGAACATGATAAATATAACAACCCCTGGTTACAGATCTGGCTAACATAAATATTGTAATTTATTCAAATTGTTAACAATGCCTTGTAATAAACCTTGTCTGAGACACTTGTTTGGATCAAATCCTGCCCAAACCAAATGGTTTTTATCTAATTTTTATCTGATTTTCCTGGTAGTCCTCCTGTTTTTTCTGCCCATTACAATGACCCAATAACCAGAAACCATTTTATTTTTTAAATTGATTTATATGCAATAGATTACAGTTGCCATATACAATGAAATCTTTATTTGATGGATCAATTCTGTCTTCCTATCTCTCTAAAAACTCCAGGTTTTTTTGCATTAAGTTAAAACACCATCAAATAAAAATAAAATAAAGCAGGTGACATAACAACATTCAAAATTAAAACTCCAAACATTTAATGAAACAGCACTGTCTTAAAAGCTTTGCATAATTCTAAAAAGGAAATGCCAGCCACACCTCACAAGACAAGGTTATTCCAAAAAAATGGGAGCTGCCCCAAGGAAGAAGTGTGTGCAGGACCATATCCTCTTGAATTCCTTATACACCAACCCCTAAGTTTTCTCTCCCTGACTGCAAACACAGATTGGTCCTCCCTAAAGTACCCTGGAGCTAAGACAAGTATAGAGCCCGGGTGGTTCAGTAGTTAGAATGCAGTATTGCAGGCTAACTCTGCTCACAATCTGGAATTCAATCCTGATGGGTCAAGGGTGACTCAGCCTTCCATCCTTCTGAGGTTGATAAAATAATGATCCAGATGATTGGTGATATGATGACATTATAAACTGCTCAGAGTGCTATAAAGCACTATAGAGATATATATAAATCTAAGTGGTACTGCTATTGCTTTGTAAAAACCAGCACTGTGAACCAGAGGTGGTATTCAGCAGGTTCTGACCAGTTCTGGAGAACCGGTAGTTGAAATTTTGAGTAGTTCGGAGAACTAGCAAATACCACCTCTGACTGGCCCCACCACATCTATTATCTGCCTCCTGAGTCCCAGCTGACTGGCTGGGTTTTCTTTTGTTGCCCTGCACAGGAGAATGGAGCTGGAAAGCAGGTTAGTGGGATGGAGAGGGAATGGAGATTTTACAGTATCCTTCCCTTGGAGTGGGCTGGGAATGGAGATTTTAGAGATCTTTTAAAAAAACCAAGAGCCTGCCATTTAGTTACCATGTTTAAAAAAAGGGGAAAAAAGGCAAGTCCATTGCTTCCAAATAACTGTTAAATTAAAAGTTATATTATTTACAGCAATCTATGTCATTTATGTAATGATTCATACATTTAAGTTTAAATATTAGAATAAATTTAACTGCCTCATCCAGATTGCATCAGATGCAATGGATTTGTCTATAATTTTAGGAAAATCTCCGGATAGTTTTGTCAGCTATACCTGAAATCATCTAAATGGAGGCACATTAAGTGAAGGTTTCATTGCAATTGTTTTCACCAAATGAAAAAAGAGATAGCATCTTATATACTGTATCTCTTCTATGCATATTCTTTTTGGACAGCTTGATCTTCCTGGCCTTGTCTTATATCTCATTAAATATATATAATTTATCTCATATCTCATTAGTTTGCATTAAAACTACAAAGACAACACCAAAAATGAAGAATTCTATCTGACCAAGCCATCATATTGAAATCTACCATTGATTACAGACTCAATATGCATACGTACACACGCACGCACCTCATTATTAAAGCATACCTTTCTTTGATTTGTCATCATTCCATTCTCTTTACAATCAGGTCCGCTAGTTAACATTCCTAGATTGCTAAACGTTTTGTCTACCTGTTTGAATTAAAACAAGATTAAAAATATTTTTTAAACAGCTACTTGAAACCACTTTATATTCATCTAATAAATACAGTACCAGCTGGGTGCCTCCGTGTCAATTACTCACTCTCAGCCAAGCGATCTCACAGGGTTGTTATTGTAGGGAAAACAGGAGGAAGAAGGAATAATACGTATGTTTGCCACCTTGAGTTACATACATACATACATACATACATACATACATACATAACCCTTACTTGATTGCCTATGTTGCTGATTTTTGATTCTTCAAGTGGTTTCATTTGATTAGTTATATCCAAAGATCTGTAAAAAGATAATTATAATAAGTTATTGTTTCAATCTCAGAAACAACCCAGAAATATATTCCAACAGAATGTAACAGAAATACATTCCAAATGTTATCATTACAAATTAAAAATAATTTGCTTTGAGTTTCTTTTTTAACATAACAATTAGTAATTATACTATTATGTAGAGGTCACATCAGCCTCTTTATCACAGGTTCACAAGCAGCATAAATTCACAGGTTAAATCAAAGTAATAAAATAGAATTAACACAAAGACAACACAGGGTTTTACTGTACTTCTTAGATACACACACAGAGGTTGGCTGGAAAAAAAAAATCAATATTCAGCCCTCCTCGGCTCTTGTCTGCTACAGCAATTGAAAAATTCACCAAAATTGAATATATAGTTTTTCTTTTCTATTTTGCATGCATGCTGGAACAATTAAGATTTCTCCTCTATCTCTCACTACCATCAGTAAGATAACTATGCATGTGTATGTGTGTTATTTTTATCTTTCCTCTGCATGCAGTACAATTTTGGGGCACTTCAGAATGCTTCCTTTGCTCCCAATACCACATGTCTATACTTAAATCAATTTCTTAAAAATAATAAAAATAACATTTTCACTATTGCTATTAAGTTACTTGCATTAATAAATTAAATTACATGAAATAAATATAAGAGAGCATAGATTCTTCAAATTTCTCCTGTTTTTCTTATTTAATTATATAACAGTATTGCATATAAATTGAAAACACATATCTATAGTGTAGTCAAATTCTATGATAGACATCATGCTCAAGATATCTCAGTTTTAATTTAAACACATCATTGGTTCAATTCACACATTATACTAACACATTTTTTAACAATGAACTGAAGTCATAACTCATGCATAATACTAATCCATACATTTGTGTGACTAGGTTTGCACACCAGCTCATGAACTCAAATCAAATGAACATTGTGGTTTAACATGTACTAGTTCAGCCATTATTGAGTGTGGTTTGGTGTAAATTTCTATCCAAGATTATGGAAGATAAAGTTCATAATCTGTTTATATGGAAAATCTATTCCAAACTATTCAACTGTGAAGATGAATGACAGTCAGCTAACTTTATAGGGTTGTGAAGAAGTTTTAAAAAGTACCATAAACTTCCTTTCAGTAGAATATTAATAGCCAGCTAACCTATTAGTATATACTATTAATAATGTTTATCTAATTTTTAGATAGAAAAACTCAAAGAGAAACAGAAAATTATCTAACAAAGCAAAGAGATAATATTAATGAATTCATTGTGACAGAATGATGTTTTACACACTTACTTTTGTTGTTCCTGCATAACATGGATTTGTTCAAGTTTGGTCTTGTGTTCAGCTTCCAATTTATTTAACATCTCTTTTATGACTGAAATAAAGGAATTAAACTAGAAGAGAAATATATTTAACATGAAGAAATATGAAAAACACCAGTCTTCTAATATAGAATATGCACCAAGAGAAATCTAACAAATTAAAATGGGCACCACAAAATTATGTGAGGAACACAGTGTGACATTCAGCAATCCTATGAACACTTAATTAAAAGACATGCTGAATTCAATGACTTTATTTATATACATACTGCAAAGTATATGTAATATAAGAATATGTGCCTTTTGAGCTTTTTTAATGTATTTTTCATTAAATTTATAAGGATTGTAGTGATGTTAAAGGTGTGTTGACTAGTGAAATAAATAAATCTGTATTTTTATAGGTAAATGCTGCTATGTTGTCGGTGGAGAACCTGAATATGGTGAAAAAAGAAGTATGGGTATGAAAATTAATGCATCATAGAAAGCTTCTTAAAGATGGGGAAATGGATAAAAGAGAAATATTAGGATATGCAAATGCTGGTAGAAAAAATACTGCAAGGAACGAATGTTTATAAAAGAAGTTACCATTTCTGCATATAAGCCTGTACTTCTGTCCACTTTGTTATATGGAACTGAAGCTGGAAGAAAGAATGAGGATCAAATTGCAAAACAAAAGAGGAAGGAAACAAGAAAGTAATGGTTGGATGGAATTGATAAGAATCTCAAAAAGAACTAAAAAAAATTCAAGAAAAAAGTAACATACTAATTGAGGTATGGATGTCATAAAAACAAAAATGGTTTGCAAGGACAGAACTGTACAGAGTCATCACAAATGTTTGTATAAACTACTGTCCGACTTCCTTTTTTCCCCCAACTTTCATCTCCCTCCAATTTCTTTTCTTTACTATTTATTTTTTAAAACACTGATTATCCTGAAAGGGAATAGGGTGATGGGTACACATGCATATACAATACTATAATATTAAGGTCTAAAATAGTACCATCTTAAAATAATGCAAATTAACAAATTGCCTTGTGAAACTGTCACCAATGTACATTTAAATTATTTTCTGTACTTAACATGATCTATGCATGTAAATATTTTACATTTATTTCCCAAATAATTCAAACACATTTGTACCCAATATTTTTTCTTCCAGTCTATGTGTATGTATGGTTCTCAAGCAGCTCTTTTAACATTCCCCTAGACAGCTGCCCCTTCCAAAAGCCTTCAGGCAAATAAACTTAATGCTATTATTCAATAATGGCATAGAAATGTTCAATACACTTAGACCCTGAAACTTTATTAGTGATTTAAATATTAGCACATGGAAATAAAGTCTGCAGAAACTGATATATTTCTCTTCAAGTTTTTCATAAAAAAGAGGATTTAAGTAAGAACAGGGATGGGGGCAAGGGTTTGTTGTTTTATGATTAACTATTCTAGAATAGATGATTTTTTTGTCAGTGATCACAACTTTGGTGGATATAAAGCAATATTTCAAACCTTATTCCTATGCTTAGTGCTCTTTATAAGCTTTCTTTCACATGTTTAGAAAATGCTGGGAATCTAATCAAGTCACTGTACTTTCTGTAATATTGTTGCAAATTGAGCAAAGAGAAATGAATATATAAAATGAATGAATGTTTATTATTAAAATGCCTGAATCCTCACACTATTTTTCTGAAATTGTCCAGATTTATTTGCTAGCAATATACTTTTCATTCAAATCATCAATCCCCTTCCAGTTTGCAGCCTTCTTTTTATAAACACCACTGTGTTTATATTTCTTTAGTGAGGTCAAAAAATTTCCATGGGCATTTGCAGGGGGGGAGAACAAATGAATGCCATCCCATGATGGAGCCCCTACAACTTGAGGCTTGCATCAGACATCAGCTTGTAAGTATATAATGGCAAAACTAATGTCACGGTGTATTGTATCTTTGGCATAACTGCACTTCATTGTAGAGACTATACATATTACCTACACTGAAAGTTATCAGTATAATCACCATCATCATCACCATCTCAAAAAATCAAAACAACTCAACCAGTGCAAGCTAAGTGTGATCTTTTCTTTAAAGAAGGCTCGAAATTGGAAAGTATGCTCCTTCACCAAAATAAATCATGGGATGAAATGAAAAACATTATGTTCCCTGACTTTTGCAGAATTGCCTTCAAAATAGCTTTAATGCAACATAGTGAAATATAAAAAGGAACATCTCTTCTGTGACCCAAGATTTGATTCTTTACGAATAACTCCAACATTACATTTTTATAGTGAAAACATATGATTAATCATCCTACCTGATTTAGATTAAGATTGTTCTCAATGCTAAGAGGAATCAGATGTGGGAGCACCTTTCCTGCAAGTTGTTCTTTTGTAATTCCCAGCTTTTTGTGACTAAATGTACATTTGTAAATGCCTGTTACGAAACATTAATGGGTTAACTATTTATCTAGTCATAATGAATCATAATCATATTTTACTCTGAGTACAAAACTAATTTCAATTAAATAATGGAAACTTTCATTTCACTTTACATATACAGTTGCATACAAACATATCGACACCCCCCCCAGTCAACATGCTTCAAAAGAATAGAAACTGATACATATTTTTTTTAAAAAATGACTGCCTACCTATTATTTATCTGCAGTTGCTTAGAGAATCAATATTGTATTGAATATGACAACAAATTTCTTTCAAATTAATCACATTTTAAAGTTGTTAATAAGGCCCCAAAAGGTGGTGACTCACTTGCTACAATTACCTAGATAAAGATGAATACTCTTTGACACTTTTAACTTCTTAGGGTGTAAGTGTCCTATTTACTTTCAGCAACCATGATCTCCTCTAGACAGCTGTCTGCCCATTTGAGAATGAAGATAATCTATGTTTATAAAGCAGGGGAAATCTATTAAAAAATTTTTTAAACACTTTCTGCTAGCAATTTCAGTTGCAAGAACTGTTAAGAAACAGAAGCTACATGTAGTTATTGAAGTCAAGGCAAGATCTGGAAGACCAAGAAAAATCTCTGCATTTGGGCTGGCATTCAGTAATTTAGCAGGATTGGATTATCTCAGGGGCTCTGAATATTTTTTAGTGCATTGTAAATTTGCTAATCTCAGAAATGACATTGGAGCCCAACTTGCCGATTCTTCTGTGCAAGAAGAATCTGGTCTCTTAAACACTAAACTGAGTTCTGAAGTATTTGGCCATATCTCTGAGTCAGAATATAGAGAAGTAATCTTTTGGTATAATGAAGACTATAAAGTACTAGAATCCTGTGGGGTTTTATAATCAGTGAAGAAAATGAAGCTGATAATAGAGAGAGGTTTTAGTAAAAAAAATTAGGCAGAAATATATTTCTAAATCAACCATAAAGAACATAAAGAAAAGTAAGACTTTGATATATACTTCAGTTCCCAGACTGGAATGTTATTGAAAATCTGCAAGAAAATAATCCATTGTATATATGAAGATCTTTCTGAACCAGTAGATGTTGTAAAAGAAAGAGTGGAAAATCTTCCAGAAGGAAGAAATAGAAAGCTGGCTACAGGGAATTCTGGAAGTTTTCCTACCTGTCAAATAAGATACAAAATAGTTTACTTTACTGTCATTGCACCTGGTACAACGAAATCAAACACTATCTTCAATGCACATCATGACTATGAAAATAAACACAACACACATCGTTCACACTCCACACATTGAATTGAAAACCCCTGACACTGCACCAACACTGCACTATACAGTAGAATTTAACAGAGCTACTGCTCAACAAGAAGTTGTTTTTCAGCCTATTTATCCTTGTTTATATTATTCTGTGCCGTCTGCCAGATGGTAATAATTAAAAAAAAAAAAGGGCTCCCGGGCAACCAATGATCTTCTGGGCAATGATGTTAACCTTCTGGAGTGCTGTCCTATCTGAGACGTCTCAGGTAGTATAATCTCTGCTGGGCCCTTTTGACCAGGGCTACAATGTGAGCACCCCAAGTTAGGTCCTGTTATGGCAACACCCAGAAACTTAAAACTGGCCACTTGCTCCATTCAGTCTCCATTGATAAGCAAGGGCTGGATGTCTGATCTGTTCCTTCTATAGTCCACTGTAAGTTCCTTGGTCTTATTGATGTTGAGGACCAAGTTATTGTCTCCACACCACGAAAGCAACCGGTCCACCTCATCTCGGTAGGCAAACTCATTCCCCCCCGGAGATGAGTCCCACCACTGTTGTATCATCTGCAAATTTAGTAATAGTATTACTAGCGTGAGTGGGAATGCAGTCATACACATAAAGAGTATAGAGTAAGGGACTCAACACAGAACCCTGTGATGTACCAGTGTTAAGAATAAGGGCTGAAGGAGTATGATTATCTAATCTAACCCTCTGTGTGCGACCAGACAGGAAATCCATAATCCAAAGGCAGATTGAATTAGAAAGCCCAAGGTCAAGAAATTTAGACACTAATCTGCGTGGAAGAATTGTGTTAAACGCAGAACTAAAATCCACAAAAAGCATCCTCACATAGCACACACACACACACACACACCCATTCTAGATAAGTCAGAGCAGTGTGAAGAGTGATGGCTATAGAGTCCTCTGTAGATCTATTTCTTCTGTATGCAAACTGGAGTTTGTCAAATGTATGCGGAAGACCAGAAATGATGTGCTGGCAGACCAATTTCTCAAAGCACTTCATGATGATAGGAGTGAGTGCCACTGGTCTGTAATCGTTGAGGTTATTGATAGGGAACTTCTTTGACAACGGAACAATGGTGGAAGCCTTCAAACAAGATGGAATAGTGGACTGGGATAAAGACCGATTGAAGATCCTAGCAAAGACTCCAGCCAACTTAACAGCACAGTCTTTAAGCACTTGGCCAGAGATACCATCAGGACTGGCAGCCTTTCTAGGGTCCACAGCCCTCAGAATGCTCCTCACCTCCTCTTCCTCCACAATGAGGTGGGGGCTACAATTGGCTGGTGGTTGTATTTTAACTGTCTCTGATATCTCCACTTCAAAGCGAGCAAAGAAATGATTCAGTTGCTCTGCCAATGAACATCCCCCTCAGCAGGGATGATATTGGTCAGTTGATGGTTGGTAATTTGTTGAATCCCTCGCCACACCTGCCTCATGTTATTGTTATAAAAATTATCCTCAATCTTCCTCTTATAATCAGTCTTGGCCTTCCAAATACTTTTCTTCAGATTAGCTCTGGCAACACTGTATCTTGCCCCATCACTGGACCTAAAGGCTTTGGTCCTGTCACGCAATAGGCACTGGACTTCCTTGGTCATCCAGGGTTTCTGATTGGGATAGATTCTAATACATTTATCCACAGTGATAGTATCTGTGCAGTGTTTGATATAGCACAGAACAGTTGCAGTGATTTTATGCATTGATTGATGTAGGATTTAAATCATTAAATTGAGCCAGAAAGTTTGGGGGTGGGGGGGAAGATAGACTGGTTATGCTGATGCAGGTTAAAAGTGAGACAGATACCGAAATAATTTTGAATCTGTAAACAACTGCACATAAACATTATAATTGTGTTCACATTTGCAGCACAATTTCATGCTTAACTTTGTACAAAACAGAGATTGATGTTAGCTTCTGTTCAGTTAGGGATTCACTGAAACTTAAATTTGAGAAGGACTGTCTAAACTGTTGCATGCAATTATAAATGTATAAACGTATTTTGTATTTCTTTTAGTTTGAAGGGATAGGGAAACAAGACGTTGAAGTTGATTATTTTTTCAACTAGATACGTTCCTGGAGGGTTAATATATGTTGATACAGTTTGAACTTAAAAGAAAATCTTAGGAAACTAAACAAGTTATATACCTTTGAGGCATATTATAAACATATTGTTTTTGAATCATACACCAAAGTACTGTAGAGGAATTACAGTAGACAACACAAAAAAAATAAAAAGTTGTATTACCTAAGATTCCCATAAGGACGGCAGGTTCTTTGGAAGGAATTTGTTGCAAAAAAGGCAGAATATCATCAAGAACAAACCATTTATCCAGGTATTCCAAAATTTTTCCCAAGCAGACTAAGGAATTTACACGCACCTAATAAAAATATAAACAAATCCTCTGAACTTTTATGAATAAAGGTAATTTAAAGTGAAATTTCATAAACAAGCTATTTAATCACTTAAAACCTATGTGTACATGGGATGTACATTCCTATATCTTTCCAAACTTAAATGGTGTGGGTTTATATACAGAGAAGCAGTGAAAACTTATTTTTACATGGGAAGCTTCAAAAACAATAAAATTTTAACAATTTGTTTTATGGAAAATATAGCAAACATTTTGCAGTTTTTTTAAAAAAAGGTCGACAGCCTACCTATTACCTAATATGAAGTAGGAAGATTCATTTGTTAATTAAATTTATCTTATTGTGGGACTGCTCTAGGTGGTTACAAAAATAAAAAGGAACAAATGAAAAGTGTGTAAACAAACTAGCTGTAATACATAATAAATAACATAATTAACATAATAACATAATTAATAACATAATAAATAATGAAAAAATAAATAATGAAAAAATAAATAATGAAAAAATAAGAATTCAATAAGATAAAAAGAAAATTGATGGGTGGAGAGTAGAGAGCAAGGGGGAGTAGTGGAATCTGCTATCAAACCAGCAGCCAATTCAGTAGTAAGTAGTAGTAACAGTAGTAGTAATAGTAGTAGTAATGCTTATTTATAAAATGTGTATGCTATACAGACCAGTAGTGCTAGTCTACCAGTTTGGTCTGATTCTGGCGTACCGGTAGTGCCAAAGATCAATGGAGACTGAACTGGTTCTCTCTGACGAGCTGCTGCTGGGTCCGCCCGCCCATACTGACCTTTATTCCCTGCTTTTGAAGGCGCAAGTACTTTGCGCAGCACAGAAGATTGCCGCGCGTCAGCTGTTGAAACTACAGGGAGTGCAGGATTGCAGGAGGTGAGCAGTAAAGCCTCTGTGCGTGTGCAAAGTGTGTGTATATGCACCCACCATGCCACTGAACTGGTAGTAAACCACTTTGCAAACCACCTCTGATACAAACCCTTAATAGCTCAAGATGACTTACAAAAATAGAAATCTGGGCTAAATCTAGATTTTAATCCAAAGTGAAATGGATCATAACAATCAATTTCATTTAAGAACTGCGGAAGCTGTAAAACTGCTGTTTTGTTAATCAGCTTGCCTAAATATACTATCTGATATCAGCTGATGGTTGTTAAAATTAGTCTAAATATAGTTTATTAAACAGGGATCCCATTTCTGCCTTTTTTAATGTTTGGGAAATTCTGCTTTATGGGCAAAATATTAATAATTTGGATGAACATTGATAGGATAGATCCATGATGGCAAACCTAAGATACGCATGCCATAAGTGGCACGCAGAGCCATTTCTGCCAGCACATGAGAAGTCACCCGGAAGAGCCTGAGAGGTACCTGCCATGCATGCACGGGGAGACGCGCTTGGGTGGGAGACATGCACTCATGCGCAGAAGCATGCGGCAGTGGTGGGCTCGTGTGCGCATGTGCAGCAGTGTTTGGTGTGTGGGTTGTGTACATATGCGCAGAGGCATGTGCACAGGGCGGCATGCGTGCATGCGGAGGGGTCTGGAGATTGCGTGCACATTGTATCATGGGTACAGGCACATTTTCGGCACATGGTGTGGAAAAGGTTAGCCATCACTGGGATAGATCTTTGGAAATTTTTAGAAGCCAAGTCAGGAAGATATTCAATATTCAGTTGATGGTGTGAACAAATATAAAAACAATATCCACTTTCCTCAAGAGACTAATTATGAAACTGACTCAGACAAATGTTATTAAATGGTACAGCAGACACATTACTAAGGAACAGTTTAAAGTGACAACAGAAGTAATATGAATTTGAGTAATTTTGTTCTTTAAGAACTATCATAATAAATAGTTATGATAGAGCCTCATGTAACCAAAAGTATTAAAGATCAAGTCACCCATAATTTTAAATAATTCCCTTGGATGATTTCCTGCAGATACAGTTTGGGGTAAGGCCAATGGCTCTCTTCCCTCAGTACTATAAAATAAAGCTTATATGGATGCTACATTGTATTCAGAATAACAGAGTTGGAAGGGATCTGGGAGATCTTCTAGTCCAACCCCCTGCTCAAGCAGGAGACCTATATCCATTTAAACAAATGGTTGTCCAATCTCTTCTTAAAAACATCCAGTGATAAAGCTGCCCCCCTACTATAGTCAACTGTCTTCCTACTACAATCATCCTAGACCAGGGTCCCCAACTTCTGGTCCATGGACAGGTACTGGTCTATGGCATGCCAGAAACCAGGCCCCATACATGGGATGCAAGCAGCACATGAAAACACATTCCCTCTGGTCTGCAGAAAAACCTCTCTCCATGGAAATTGTCCTGCTGTCATAAAGGTTGGGGGCCGGTGTCCTAGAGGTCTGCTCTTGTTATTTCATCACTTGTATCTTTTTTTTATTACTATACAAATGAGGTAGCAGATACTAAAAAGCCAGTGCTCTAAGCACTTGAGAAATGTCCAAGTCTCAACCAGTCCACTAAAACATGTCCAACTAGTACAACGGTATCCATCATCCTCTGGGATGGATTAATATAATTTGATTCCAAAACCAGGAGGAAGAAATATGTTCTAGTAGTCCATTAATATATATTACCTATCCAATGAATTAGAATTACTAGTAATCAGGAAGTAAAATACAATTTAGGTATCAGCTACTTAAAGCTTTTAATTGTAAGTATTTTAAATCAGTAGAGCACCTGATGAAACAGAAAAGTGAAACGAATGTAAATTTTAAAATATAATAATCAAGTAAAAGATAAGATTAAAGATAAATGGGAAAGTTTAATTTATGATCAAACATTACTCTTTTCTTAGAAAGGCATAGGACTTTACAGTTTAAATTCTGTAGGAAGTAACCATGTTCTGATAATTAATCATGTTAAGCCCTAAGCAATGTTTACATCAAAATGAAATTTTAATTTAGTCACTGAAATTGCTACATTCCAGCAATCTTTAAATTGCTAAATTCTGTTTCAAATTTTAGTTTAGTTTATTTTACTTTATTGTCATTGCACCTCATACAATGAAATCCAACACCATCTTCAGTGCACATCATGACCATGACCATGAAAATAAACACAAACACACATCTTTCACCAAAACCCTCCGACACCACACCAATACTGCACTATACAGCAGAATTCAAAAGAGCTACTGCCCTGGGATAGAAGCTGTTTTTCAGCCTATTTGTCCTTGTTTTTATTATTCTGTACTGTCTGCCAGATAGTAATAGTTCAAAAGAAGGGTTCCCTGGATGAGCTGGATCTTTGAGAATGTTTTGAACTTTCTTAAGGCAGTGGGAGCTATAAAGCTCTTTCAAAGAGGAGAGTGGTCAACCAATGATCTTCTGGGCAATGACATTATCCCTCTGGAGTGCTTTCCTATCTGCCACTGTGCAATTGGAAAACCATACAGAGATGCAGTAAGTTAAAATACTCTCTATGGTGCAGCGGTAGAAGGTCACAAGCAGTTTTCATTCAGTTGTTATTTTCTGAGAAGACTCAGGTAGTATAATCTCTGCTGGGCCCTTTTGACTAGTGCTGCAATGTGAGCACCCCAGGTTAAGTCCTCTTTTGCAGTAACACCCAGAAACTTAAAACTGGCCATTTGCTCCACTCGGTCTCCATGGATAAGCAAGGGCTGGATGTCTGATCTGTTCCTTCTATAGTCCACTATAAGTTCCTTGGTCTTATTGGTGTTGAGGACCAAGTTATTGTCTCCACACCACGAAAACAACTGGTCCACCTCATCTTGATAGGCAGACTCATCCCTCCCCCGGAAATGAGTCCCACCACTATTGTATCATCTGCAAATTTAGTAATACTATTACTAGCATGAGTGGGAATGCAGTCATGCACAAAAAGAGGATAGAGTAAGGGACTCAACATGCAACCCTGTGGTGCACCAGTGTTAAGAATAAGGGCTGAAGAGGTATGAATCATATATAGATATCTAATACAATCTGAGAAAATCTAAACATCTGTTTAATACATATCTGTGTGTGTAGTTTGGGCCAATGACAATATGTGAACATTTAGTAGGAATTGAAAAGTTTAGGAATACAATACAATGCTTACGTGAAGGGTCTCTATGCTATTTGAAATCCTATACAATTGAGACTGCTTTGTATGGAGAATCTAAAATATGTAGTTCTTCCTTTTTTAGAGGCACAGATTTTGGAAATAGGTGGAATAATGATGTAAGAGTGAGACTAAGTGGTAATCTCCAATTTCACTCTTCAAGCATTAGCTATATATAATCAAAACAATTTTTGCTTAAAATACAAAAGAAACCACCCACCAGAAATCAAATAATATTGTTTAAACTAAAAAAAGCAAAATACAAGCAATTATAAAGAAGTCTGTATTAAAACTTACAGCAAGAGATGAAGTTTGTAAACATGCATTTTTAATTCTTGGTATCAATGAATTTTTCATTGATGGATAATCTATAAGGTTGGCAAACGTGGGAATGATATTTAAACAGAGTTCCTGCAAATAAAAAGAGCACAATCGTCATATAAAAACTGGATAAGGTTAGAGTTAACTTTTTAAAAAAGTAATTTTCAAGCCTTTGATTTTAATTTCTGTTTACACTAAATTATTAATATTTTAAGGCAAAATTTATACTTAGGTCAAAGGTAGGATGAAGGATGGCGTGTGGGAAGCACAGGTGTTTTGAGGTTGGATCATTCTCACCTTACCCAAATCACAAACTTAGTTTGTTCATTCACGAAATAAACGAATACTGAAATGGACCATTCTAATTGTGAATGTTCAGAATGGCCTGCTTTAAAGCCAAACCACTTCCAGTAAAGTTGGAACGGTATGCCCTGACTTTGGAAAGCTTTTGTGATACTAGAACAGAGAGCATTTGAAAGTCAGAATGATACATTTAGGATCAAAACTTTTCAACCTCGAAACATTTTATATACTTCTAAAGTAAAGAATATTTATTTGTTCATCCTTCCTTTTGACTTGAAAAACAATCAGTTCATATAAATGTTGTAAGAAACAGTGTTATTTCAAAATTAAACAAATGCAAAAATTAAAAAATTATCATACTGCTTTTTAAGTATTTTTACTGCTTTGTGAGACCTTATTCTAATAAAGATAGGATAAGAGAATTTTTCAAAGATTCCAAATACATTTCAATTATAATGAAGTTGAACAAAATATATGGTTGTCAGACCTGTATTTGAATTGATGGTGCTTCTAAGGCTCTATAAACCATTGGCAGAACACTGTTCTTTATTTCATCTGGAGGTGTTTTGGTTAGCAGTAGATCCATTTTTTGAAGAAATATCAAGAGAATCTGTTTATGAAATGTAAATTTTAAAAAATTACTTTCGCTTATTTTGTTAATCAGACTAATAATTCAGAATAACTTTCAGTGTAACATTTGGTACCAATCTGTATTCAAATGTCAATGTAAATATAGCAAATATATTCACTTACCATGTTGCTAGCCTGTAAGCATGGAAAACAAGAACACCAATTTTAAAATAGAAATTATCAGTATGGATTTATTGGAATCTGTAGCAGACTGCAGTATATCCACAAAATGCAATATACTAGACTTAGAAACTAAGTCTGCTCACCTGGCAGAAATCTATTCCAGGGAATTCCATTTAGGATTCTGAAATAAACTATGGCTGGAACTTTACAGACTGAATACATTTTATGAAGGTACAACAGTTCTAACTTTTCTTTTCAGCATGTCAGTGTAATCTGACTTTAAGGCACACATTTTGTCAATATGTAATGGAAAATATAAAATGTTTAATAATAGGAAACAAGAATAATGTTTAAGATACAAATGTACCTGGATTGGTTCCTGTTGTCTAAAGACAGGGCTGAGGTCAGGTAGAATTAGTTTAATGTATTCTTCTTTGGTACATTCCTCCGCAATGAGCAGAACATTAGGCAGAACAAAAGGTACCATGTCTGGATTTACAAATTCAGATGTTAAGCAAGGCAAAATTCTTTGCACTATAACACGCTGAAAGAAAATAGATACCTTACGTTTCAAAGATATAAGAAGATTTTTATAATTAACCTTACATATTACAAATAAAAATGCAGCATTCTCAAAAATAATTTTATAACTGGTGCATCCTGTAACTCTCTTCTGTAAAACATGTTAAATCAGCAACATTTATCAGTCCCAAAAGGAAGTCATTATAGAGCAATGCACATTTCATTTACAATATACAGCATTGCACAGGCATTTATTAAGATATTTGTAAGTTGCTAACCTTAGGTAGTTTTGGTAAAACCTTTGGCAGCCCTTTGAAAAACTGTGATTTTTGAAGATTATCCCTTTGAAATAAAGAATCAAAGTACTGTAATGTCATAGCCCCAACATTATCAAAGAATGGTATCTAAAAAAAGATAAGAAAGGATTATTTAGATGATAAATATCTTATATATTTGTCTTAACAATAGCATTTCATTCTAATTAAAGTTAGCAGGTCATTTTATGAATAATCTCAAGTGTCTGGGATTAGGACAGTATACAATTTAAATAAATGAGATAAAAATAAAAGATAAAGATAAAAATGAACATCAATTAGACATTTATCTTGCAGTATTTCATAAGATTCGCTTATTCTAGGCAATGACGATAATCTCTAAAAAGATATTCTGCCAGAAAAAAAAAAATCCAGGAAATTACTGAGCACTGGCTCTGCTAATAAGAGAAATATAATCACTTACATCCCAATCTCCCATAAACCACAATATTTTAACAAAACATTTTAAAACTCTATATTCATTGTTTATTATAACAATTGAAGACTTGCCTTATGTTCTGCAGTTATTTCTATTTACTCACTTTAGTCATTTGGTCTGCATCTGGTCTGACTGCAGGAGTGACATTTAACAACAGTTTCACATGTTCACGGACATCGTCCGGGATGTTCTGAAGATTACTGGAATTCAACCGACTAAGCTGTACAGAACACATGCCATCCATCATTAACAACAACAACAAAAAATTCCTGCCTGTAATATGTGCATTATATAAAAATATTTCTGGTTTAGAATTTCACCATATACAATATACATTTTCATGCTCACAAATCAAGCCTAATATCTGAAACCAGCCATTATAATCAATACAGGTAGTCCTTGAGATACAACCATAATGAAGCCTGCCCATTACAGTTACATGTCAGTGACCTCTAAGCAAAACGGCCTCACTTAACAATCCCACTCCCTTGTCTCCGTGATGCAGCTATTAAACAAAGCTGAAGGTTGTTAAATGGAGCACATGGTGCCTCGGGTGAGGAAGGTTCTGGAGGAAGGCCCAGGATCATCTGTCCCGTATCTCCCACGGCTACCGAACCCCCTGAAGCAACCCATGTTTTGCTGAGCTACGAAGCAGGCTGAGTCCTGAAAGTCCTTCAGTGGAAAGGAAGCACCGGACAGTTGATCTCCGCTTGCTTGCTGGGTGAGAAGGCAGCTAGCTCCAGCTGATTTGCATCCACTACTGCCAGCCTGATTTCCCTTGGGTAAAGGAGTGGCTGCGGAGATCCAGCAGGGTAGATGGATGCTGCACCATCCCTGCATTCAGCCATAAGGACAAATGACTGCAGGGGTGCTGCAGCCATCGTAAACTTTGAAACCAGGTTATACATTAACTTTTGGGGAGTCTGTTGTAACTTCAAAAGGTTGCTAAGCAACTAGTCATAAGTTGAGGACTACCTGTATTTGAAAATATATATTAATAGATTTAAATGTACCTGATCCAGCTGTCTGCTGAAGCTTTTATATATATCTTGTTTGTTGACCTCAAAAATTGGCTTCCCATTATTAAATATAGCATATATAATTGCCCCTAGAGAATACATGTCACTAGCTGTTTCACAGCTTACTGAAAGGATGTATTCTGGTGCCAAATACTGAGGATTTGGAAGACACAAAGATGGTAAATTTGGATCCCATTCTTTAGAAGAGAATTTGGGCTGCAATAAGAAATGTAGTGAAGTCATATATTGTGAAACAATAAAATTTAAATCAAATACTTTATTCTATCCAAGTAATATTAACACCCAAAAGTACCACCTTAATTACTTATTTATATTTTTAATATATTCCATTTTAATTGAAATTCATTTAATTTTTACACATATTTTTAATATTACATGAAAAAGCAAAACCTAAGAACATATAAAAGTGGTTCCCAAAGTGGGTGGTACCGCCCTCTGGGGTGGTGGGATGACTTGGGGGGGGGCGCTAAGAAACAAGAGGGCTGGCAGGGGGGCGCTAAGAGGTGGCAGGGAGCGCTGGAGGTGGGCCCCTTGCAGGGCACAATTCAGGGATAGGATTCTACCGGTTCATTACTGTTCCCGGTAGTTCGGAGAAACGGTAAAACAGGGCCCTGGCTGGTCCTGCTCCTCTCTGCCCACTCCTCCGTTCCCTGCCCAGTCAGTCCTTATTGCGCATGCATGACATTGTGTGCATGCGCAAAAAATCACTGATGGCCACAGCGGCACATTGGAGAAGTGAAGCAAGCAAACCTGGAGGTCAGTAATTTTTGCTGCAAAAAGCATTCAGACACAGTGCTTTTTTTTCGGTGCAGCTGGAGTCCAGCCGCACCGAAAAAAACATGTGGGGGCTGCAGGCATTTGTGACAAGGGTGACGTGGCCTGGCAGGGAGCCAAGCAACAATGGCTCAGCCCTGGATTGCTTTCCCTGGCAGCCAGCCGCGGGAGAAAGGTAAAGTCACAGCTGTAGGACGACGAAAGAGATGGTTGTGGGGGAGGAAACGGGGAGAGTAAGGGCCGGGGCCTCTGAAAGGGGAAATGGGGTGATGCAGGATTAGCCCAGGCCTTTGACAGATTAGGCCATGCCTACCTGGGCAGAAAATAGGTAGATAGGTTAAGGAAGGAATAGAGAGGGAAAGAGAGAAAAAGAGAGGAAGAGAGAGGAAAAAGAGAGAGGAAAAGAGAAAGAGAAAGAGAGAGAGAAGAGGGAAAGAGAGAGAGAAAGAGAGAAAGAGAACAGAAAGAGAGAATGAAAGAGAGAAAAAAGAGAGAGAGAGAGAAGGAACAGACAAGAAAGTAAAGAAAGAAAAAGGGAGAGAGAAAGGAAGAAAAGGGATAGACAAAAAAAGAGGAGGGGATGGAAGGAAGAGACAGAAAGAAAGAGGGAGAGAGAAAGTTAATGTGATATGGAGGGAGGGAGAGAGAAAGAGAAAGAGAGAGGGAAAGAGAGAAAGGTAGAGAGAAAAGGAAGAAACAAGAAAGAAAAGAAAGAGAAAAGGAAAAGAAAAAGAGAAAGGAAGAAAAAGGATGACAAAGAAAGAGTTGGGAGATGGAAGGAAGGGACAGAAAGAAAGAGAAAGAAAGAAAAAAGAAAGAAAGGAAAGGATGAAGGAGAAAGCGAATGAGATATCTAGTCCAACCACCTGCTCTAGCAGGGTTAGAAGGGAGTGTGTGTTTCTGTCTGTCTGTCTGTTTGTCTGTCAAAACTCCAAAAACAGGTCAAGTAGCTCTGGGGAGGTCAGTCATAAATTAGAACACTTACTAAACAACTGGCCATTAAGTGAGGACTACTTATATTTGGTTTGCCAGTCACATGGCCATCTGGCCACACACCCCAGTCACATGACCACCAAGCCATGCCCACAAATTAGGCCACGCCCACAGAATCAGTTGTTAAGAAATTTGAATCCCACCCCTGGGTGGGGGGTACTGAGGATGAGTTTTTAGTACCAAGGGGACGGTGGACTGAAAAAGTTTGGGAACCACTGATATAACATATATAAATATACCATCCTACTTAATTTTAAGGTTAAGATAACTAATGGATGAGGGAGAATAAGCTTCAACCATGGCAAGACTAAGTTGCTATGGATTTTAAGGCCCCCTTACTCTGGGGATTTTCCATCCTTAACTCTGTATGTGGGTGTATTTGAGAATCCTCTTTCTGCTTGAAGAAGAGGTGGCAGCCATGGCCAGTGGGGCTTTTGCACAGGTTTGTCTTGTACATTAATTGTGGCTATTTCTGGATTGGAAGACCCTGCTTATAGTGACTCAAGCCATACTCACTTCCTAACTGGATTATTGAATGCATTCTATATGCCCTTGAAAAATACTTAGAAGCTGCAACTGGTCCAGTATGTAGTGGTGCGGATAATGTTTGGTATTTCCTGTTATGACTGTAATACAGTGGTTCCCAAACTTTTTCAGTCCACCGCCCCCTTGGTGCTACAAACTCATCCTCAGTGTCCTCCACCTAGGGGTGGGATTCAAATTTCTGTGGGCATGGCCTAATTTGAGGGCGTGCCTTGATGGTCACATGACTGGCTGGCATGGCTTGCTGGCTGGGCATGGCTTGCTGGTCATATGACCGGGTAGGTGTGGTTTGGTGGTCATGTGACTGGGTGGGCATGGCCAGGTGACTGGCAAACAAGTGGTCCTCACTTAAAGGCCGGTTATTTAGCAAGTGTTCTAATTTATGACTGGCCTCCCCAGAGCTACTTGACCTGTTTTTGGAGTTTTGACAGCCATGCATACACATACACACACACTCCCTTCTAACCCTTCTAACCCTGCTGGAGCAGGTCATTGGACTAGATTAGGCAAAGCATCTCTGATTAGATTCTAGTAATGAATAAAATCTAATCAGCGATGCTTTGCCGATTCTTGTTGATTTGTTTTATTTGTATCTAGTTTATGTTGCTGAACTGCATTGACATGTGTGTCCCTTCTTGTGCACAACCCAGAAGCTTTTGTGATTCTTTGCAGCAAAAATTACCGACCTCTGGCTTTGCTCTACTTTTCAAACATGCCACCACTGCCACGTTCTAGGTGCTGGCCCTGCAGGTCCACCCCATTGAGCCCACTGCACTGGAGGGACCTGCCCAAGCAAGTAAAGTCAATGGGGTGAGCCTGAGAGAGGGAAAGAGAGAGAAAAGAGAGAGAGAGAAAAAAAGAGAGAAGGAAGAAAAGAGAAAAGGGAAAGAAAGAAAAGGGGACAAAGAAAGGGGGGATGGAAGGAAGGGACAGAAAGAAAAAGAAATAAAGAAGGAGGGAGGAGAAAGATAATGAGGTATCTATTCTAGTCCAATCACCTGCTCCAACAGGGTTAGAAGGGAGTGTGTGTGTGTGCGTGTTCTCCTTGTAATTTACCAGTACATTTTGGTTTTGCCTTCTTCAGAATTGGCACTGTCATACATTGGAGAAAAGTAATTTTTAGGGTGGTGATCTGGTCCGATGGATCCTGTTTAAAGCCTCAACAAAATGTGAGAGTTTCCTGATAGTCTTGACCATGTTTCGTCCACAAAACCTTTAATAGGTCACTTCCACCGGAGAGGACAGCCTGCAAGCTAAAGCGCCCCCTTTCCCCTTTTCCCACCTCTCCTCCCCCAGGCTTGGCAAGGCTCGCCGCGCACGGGTTCTGCATTCGAGGCACCGGCTACGGAGCGATGAAACAATCAATGGGTTGCATGGCCGGCAATCAGTGAGCCTGCGGAGCGGGCACCTCTAATGCCCCCCCTTGCCTCTTAGCGCCCCCCTGCCAGCCCCCTTGCCTCTTAGCGCCCCCCTAAGGCATCTCACCACCCCCCACTTTGGGAACCACTGCTGTGTTCTATGAGCTGCACTGACTACCAAGACTGCCATTACCTATAAAACCCCCATGGCACAAGGCAGGCAATCTGCAGGACTGTCTTTCTTCTGTTTTTTCTTGACTCACCAAATCTACTAGACAGATATGCTCCATTTCCTATCAAACAATACCACCTTGCAATAGAGGTGAATATCTATCTTCTTGTTGGACCTCAACCCTCTTAGCCTTTCACCAGCCATTGAAAACCTGGCTGTTTCCCCAGGCATTTTGCGTACATGAGTTGCTACTACGGATTGTGAATGAGACTACTGTGTGCAGTAGGGTTTTGTGTTTTTATTTTATAGACTATCAAAGTCACTTTTGTGAGTTGGTAAATATATAAATAAATAATTTACTAGCCTGTCTTCCATGACCTCCTCCAAAATCCATAAAATCTTAATTTGTACTAAAAAGCACAAACCACAAATCATATACAAAATTTTCATCTATGACAATGTCAAGTGTTTGTCTATCTGGTAAAGTAAAGGAACTATCATGTATTGACTCATTGTAAACTTTTAAAACTTTTAAATCAGCTAAATATTAGATTTAATATTTTCAGCTGGGCTTCATTTAAGAAAAATAACACATTAAACAATTTATTACCTCTTGTTCAGATGGATTTATTGATTGAATGCAGAAGTCAAATCCCATAATTTTCCACGCACCACTTTTATTTAAAATTATGTTTTCAGGAGTAAGGTTGCCATGGACCATTTTCACACTGCTGTGTAGAAATGACAAGCCTTCTGAAACCTGTTGGGAAGTAAAGTTATATTCTTGTGATAATGTCTTTTTTCCCAATTTTCTGAAACTTAATTATTATGATAGATTATATCTTTGCTTGTAACCACTATCTCAATACTCCACATAACATAACCAAGACAAACTTGCTCATCCAATCAACTGTAATTAGGTCTCTACGCCCTTCTTATCCCTGAGAAATTTGTGCACAACTTACACAAGAACAACTATTCTAGAACACAGAGTAGGATACAAATGACCAAGATATCTGAACAAGGTAATCTCTTGTGGAGTTCCCAAAAATCTTTTAAGAACTGAAAGCAGCTGAGAACTGAAGTTTTTAATTATCTAAAATGTGTGAATTTACTTGCAATTTGCAATTTTACAATTTGCAAGGAATTGATGTACTATTTATGGTAAATTTGTATTGTAAACAGTACTTTTACTGTTTTTTTCTGTAGAAGGAAAATAATGTGAACTGTGTCTCATTTATATATGGAATACAATAAGGTGTTCAAAGAGCACAGCATACAAAATGCTGCAAGATCCACTTCTTCGAATATGTTTACTGTCATATCTTTAGTCATGTAATAAATAGTCCTCTTGCCTTTAAGTCTGGTAAAATTAGAATACACCTAATCATATATAGACACAATCACACACAATTTTGAATGGATTACAATTATGATGCATCATAACTGATATAAGTTATAAGTCAATGCATACCTGAAGTAAGCCATATTTTGTTTCCACATCATACAAGTTATAATCTTTGATGTCAGATGGTAAGGGTAAAGGAAGATTCTCCCAGTTACCCAGTATATTAGCCAAACTTGCACTAACTGGTTCTGTACAAAATGCTAGACAATCTCTAAAAGAAAACAAGGATAGTTTTACTAAACACTCCAAAAGTTCACTTTTAAAAAAGAGATAGGGATACTAATGCAGGTAGTTTATAGGTTGCATAGCACACTGACATCTGGAAAATGCACAAGACATTATGATAAATGAATATATTTTGATTTGGAATCTTAACAGCAACTACCAAAATCCCAACTAATAAATCAACATTATTTTGCAAGAATCAACACCAGTTAAAATCCTTTAAAGCTTCTCTTTTTACTGGAAAAAAAAGAACAAAATCAAATGAAATTTCTGAATATTTTAAATAGGTCTCTTTGATTTTTCCTTAAAAGACTCTCTTGCATTCATAGAATGTAAACTGAATTATACCCAGGGTATAAAATATTTGAAAAGTTTTTAGAATGTGGGTATAAGTTGTAAACCCTTGCTTTATTTAGAAATCTATGTGTTTTTAAAAGAATTCCGTTTTTTACAATTCTGTATTTTAGACTGCACTTTGGTTGTCAAATTTCAAAATTCATTAAGAATCCAATTATTAGATGTTGACTTTGTTTTGACTTTGAATCTATTATTACTATAGCATCAGAAATTTTTACCGGGATTCTTCTAGTGGATGCTGCACAGTTAGCAGCCGAGGATGTCGAAGTCTTGTCAACTGCTGAACTCCACGTTTTAAGCAATCAATAATTTGATCCTTCTCAAATTTCTGATATTTATCCATAATTTTTTTATCAAATACAAAGACTGCCACTTCCTAAACATAAGGTATACAAATATAATTAATGAACCATTTATATTTTATATGTCTCTTAAGAAAGCTACATTTAATACTTTAAAATAATTCTTCTTGATGCTTTTAACTGAAAACAAGTCATTTCACCATTGTAAGAGAATTGCCATCTTGAACAGGTAATCTTACAACCACAATTGGGATTGGAACATCTGTTGCTAAGCAAGACAGTTATTGTGCCCAATTTTATAATCTCTTTTGACACAGTTAAGCAAAACAATGCAGGTTTTTAAGTGAATCATGCAGTTGTTAAGTGGACCGCATAGTTGTTAAGCAGACCTGACATTCGCCATTGACTTTGCTTGTGGAAGTTGGTTAGGAAGGTCATAAATGGTAATAATGTGACCCTGGGATGCTGCAACCAGTGTAAATATATGTTGATTGCCAACTGCCCAAATTTTGATCATGTGACCATGAATTGTGTGACAGTCATAAGTACAAGGACCAGTCATATGTCACCTTTTTCAGCACTGTTGTAACTTTGAATGATCATTAAATGAATGGCTGTAAGTTCAGAACAACATGTATACAAACCTGTATACAAACCTACAGTAGTTTATATCTATTCAGAAATTTCAAACTATGCCTTAAGTGAAAAAACAAGCTTTATGTTCAGGCACTTCATTCTGTCATATTCTCTTTACACATGACAGAAAGGTTTTATTAAAAGTACAGTTTTTAAACTCTATTGCACAGTGGTGCTGAAAACTTCACTGGAATATTAACACAGTAAGTACAATAGAACAATTTTCCTGATAAGCGGCATTCAACCAAATCTAATATAATAACAAAATAACAGAGTTGGGTTCTTGGAGGTCTTCTAGTTCAATTCCTTGCTCAATCAGAAGACCTTATACCATTTCAGACAAATGGCTATCCAATCTGTTCTTAAAAGTCCTTGAAGTATTTGAGTCTGTTCCTGGGATCACACTCATTCTATAGCACAACCTTGGGAAAAGGCACACTTAGTTTAAAGTTCACTGACTAGTGGTTTGCAAATGCTTTGAAACACCTTTTCTTCTGATCCAATTACACAGCATTAAAATGTGAGAAAATAAATCAGAAAATACAGTACACACGTATGATTGATTGATAAAAGTATTTTCAAAGCTTTAATAAGGTTGACAATATCTAGAGAGATTACCCAGAGAGATAATGAAAGAAAGGCTAGGGATAGCATGATAGTAGTTGTCCAATATTTAAGGGGCAGTTATAAAAAAGAGATGGTCAACCTATTGTCCAAAATACCTGAAGACAGGACAAGAAGTAACAGAAGGAAACTTATCGAAGAGAAATCCAACCTAGAAGTTAGGAGAAACTTCCTGAAAGTGACAACAATTAACCATTTGAATGGATTGCCTTCAGAAGTTGTGGTGCTACATCACTGGAGATGGAGAGCATGGTGGTGAGGGCAACTGTGGCTGGAGTGGGCTGTGGCTTTATGCCATATTGCTGCAACTAGGCTTTGTGCTGTAGCTCAGGGGCTGCTTTTTATAGCTCACAGTCATAGTGCGTCAAAGAATTGCCTTGTGCCATGCTATTGGCTCTGCTGTAGGGTGGGGTGAGTGTAGTGGATGTGACTTCCTAGGCATAGCAAGCAGCCCCACAGCCATTCTATTCTGGTACTACTTACCGTACACAAGTGTGTGACAGCCAAAAGGGCAGGGTGGGGGGAGTTTGATGGGTGAGGGGAATTGGAGGCAGTTCCTTACCTTACTGAGACTCAGGGCTGGGAGGAACCAAGCCTGGAATGGGAGTAGGCCCGTGGCAGATGACTGGTGGAATTTGCTTAATGAGGGCAACTGGGATTGTAAGGATTGCCTTTGCTAAGCAATGTGGTCACATGTCTCGCTTTACAACCATATTGCTTAGTGTTGGAAATTCCTGTCCCAATTGTGGTGGTCATAAATCAAGGCATCTGTGGTAGCATATCTATGGAGATTTTCAATTATCCAAGTCTGGATGACCAAACTTATGAACTGAAGAAGTTTCTCTTTAGATGAGAAGCGAAATGTTTTCAAAGAGAAAAAACAAATCCAGCTGCCTTTTGAAAAGCACCTTTGGGACAACCTGTGGTAGCAACTATACCAGAGTCAATGTAAGTATAATCTATTCATAATTTCTTGATCATATAGCACTACAGTAAACAGAACAATATCTTTGTTACAAGAACACCTATCAGATACCTTCTACTCCAGCCTAAGAATTTGTCATATCTTTCTCATTCAATCAAAACAAGTCTACTAAATCCATACATATACAGTCCTCCAAGTAACAAATTGCAGAAATAATATGAACAATTGATTTTATATTTGTTTCTCAGGCATCCATAGGCAGATCATATTATATGGTTTAAAAATAATTGAGATGAAAAAGAAACAATAATCAGAACTACTTAAAAGACACTAATCAAAATTAACACAATTAAATTTACCAAAAGATAAATGAAATGAAAAAGGCCTTCAGTATAAATGAAATGAAAAAGGCCCTCATTATATTTCAGGATAGAAGATTGTATTATATAATTATAGTTTATCTTTTTACAACAAACGTAATAGCGACAACTGATGGACAGATTTATGCAAGAGATGCTCTTTAGATATAAAAACACATTGCAATTTATACATAGTAATCCACTCCTTAAAACAACCCAGCCCAGTGCAGAAAGAATTGGCCCGAAACTATCCTGGTTAAATTAAATTAAGTCTTTTTTCCATTCTTCAACAGTAGTCCCATACAGAGAACACTAAAGTGTGGATAAATATTGCTCTAGCCTGCACTAATACAAACATATCAATCCTTCACACACAACAAAAACAGAATATAAAAACTTCTTCAGATAATCAGTCATGAGGCATACAGCTACAGCTATATAGAAGGCGGCTAAAAACCAGACAACTAGTAGAATTTATCTGTGGGAGGGAGAGTAAGATGTAGAGAAAAGAAAATCTCCAGTTTGCTGAGCCTGTGGAGACGGCAGCGGAATCGGACAGTGGGGAAGAAAGGGGATTAGTCTGGGAGTCTGGGGAGGACTTGGACGACGGTTCTGTCCTATGCAGAGATGGGGCTGGGACCATCTGGGAGTGGGGTGCTGTCTCCGGAGCCTTCGGAGTCTGGCAGCAGAGAGGCAGAGGACCCAGGGGAGCCTGTTCCCAGTGCACGTGTGTGCAGAGCTGCTGGAAGGCGAGAGCAGCTGAAACAAAAGGGGTGACTTGGGATCAAGGCTGGGAGGTGATTGCCCCTCCCATAAGGTATAAAGGACAGGCCAAGATGACGAAACCTTTGCAGGAAGCAAAGTTATTCGGTTTAGATTCATTCTCGAAGCTCTTTGTACTTTGGCTGGTTCTTGTTTTAGTTTATTTGACACTTCTGTTAGTGGAAGCACTTCACAGGAAAGAAAGGTGGGTGCTTTCCTCCAGGGACTTTTTGAGAGTCATTATCGGTTGGGAATGAAAATAATTCCCAGCATTGCAATAAAAGAAGAGTTGTTTTTAAAATAAGCGTGTGCGTAATTACTATCTCAGAAGCCTTGGCCAGAACACAATCATTCAGTAATATACTATATGCTTTGCAAGTAGAAGATCTCAATTAACGTTCCTTCTATCTCAGTTAAAAGAAAGCATGCAATTTTAATTTTTATAATTGTTAGCATATGACTTTTGGGGGGCAAAAAAAGGTGCCACATATATTTTGTAAATAAACAGCATGAGGCTTTAGAAAGTTTAGAAAGCTGCTTAGACAAAACAGATGATATATAGTAGACTACATAAGATGAACTAGTGCCCTGTAACATTTATGTAAAATTGTGTACTTTAAAGTATAAAGGGCAGTTTATACAGATAAGTCCTGACTTACAACCATTTACAATGTTGTACAATCAGTTAAAATGATACTGAAAACAGTCATACAATCATTGCAGCATCTGTGTGGTCATGCGATTAGAAATGTGATGTTTGGCAACTGGCATGTATTTATGATGTCCCAGGGTCATCTTTTGCAACCAATCTGCAAGCAAAGTATATGAGGAAGTTGATTCATTTAACAACTGTAGCCAGAAAGGTTGTAAAATGGGGCAAAACACACTTAACAACTATCTTGCTTAGCAATGGAAATTTTGGGCTTAGTTGTGGTCCAAGTTGAGAACTACCTATAATTCCACAACTGTACAATTATATTCTACATACATTATATTTTCATTTAACAGTTGAGTTGGACCTGATTTTAAGACAATTTGGTCATTAAGCTAATCACTACAGTTAAGTGAATCTCACAGTTCTTAACTGAATCCAACATTCCCATGGCCTTTTTTGGGGCTGGAAATTAGCAAAAAAAGTTAAAACCATGATCACATGATTGCAAGATGTGCAACCAATAATATTCAGTTGCCAAGTGCCTGAATTGCAACCATGTGTCCGTGGATGTGGTGCAATGACGAAGTGCTGTCATCACTTTGAACTGTCGCTAAACAACCTGTTGTAACTTGAGGACTACCTGTAACAAAACCAAAGTGGAGAAATACGGTCTGACAATCAGGGACAGAAAGAAATGCAATTGAATAAAGCAAAACTATATTTTGAAATACCTGACAGCAGCCAATATTCAGATGCATAATATACAAAGACCAAGAGATAAACCAAGGTATATAAATAAATACATATATACAAAGGGATAGCACCGTGATGGCGAACCATTTCTGCCAGCACGCGAGCCGCATACACTGAGCATACATGTGCCTCACAGTTCATTTTCGGCCTGTTTGAGGCCTTTTTCGGCCTCCCAGAGGCTTGAGGAAAGCCTTTGCAGGTCAAAAAATAGGCCCATTTCATCACTTCCTGTATTTCTAGAAATACTGGAAGTGACGAAACGGCCCCATTTTTTGGCCTTTAAAGGCTGCAGAAGTTTTCCTCAAGCCTCTGGGAGGCCGAAAAAGGCCTCAAATGAGCCAAAAATCAGCTGAGAGGTGCAGTGCAAGTAAGGGGGCAGCATGGGGGGCAGGCGGGGCTTGCGTGTGGATGTGCAGAGGGCGTGGGGGGCCCCGCATGCATTGCCTTCTGGGTGCTGGCACGCAAGTGCACGCGCACAAGCACAATTTTTGGCACAGGAGCCCCAAAAGGTTAGCCACCACTGGGATAGCATGTTTCAATATACTTTTCCTGGTAATATTTAATATACTTTTATGCCAGAAATATTTATTGAATCTAGATCTCTTAATTTTAGATCTCTCTGGCCACATACCACACATTTATTAGGACATGAGATACACAATAATAGTGGTTTGTATTAAAATTGTTAATCACATGTCACAGCCAAAATATAAATTAGTGAGCTTTTAGCTTGACTATGGAATTACATATTGCTGGTTCTTTGTCATAGTTATTGAATGCCATTTCTCCCAAATAATGCCTGAAATTCTGATATATTTCAGCCTAATTCCTGTCATCAACTAGCAATTACAAATACAAATTTGGAGTATAAGACGCTCCAAAGTATAAGACTCACCTAGCTTTTGGGGAGGAAAACAAGAAAAAAAAATCTGCTTCTGCCTCCCAGCAATTTGCCTCCTTGTAGCAAAGAGCAAACAGCCTGGTCAGCTTCAGCACAGCCTGATTAGCACAAGTAGGTGATTTTTGGTTGGATTAGCCTTCTGACGATCAGCTGTTTCAGCCTGCCATCGCCTATTGCATGCCCCATTTTTGGCCACGGAACCCCATTTTTAGCCTCCACACACTCCATTTTCCACCCGTTCCAATCCCTGCTGCCTGGAACAGGCTAAAAATGGGGGGCGTGGAGGCGGCAATAGGCGATAGCAATCCCTGCAGCCTGAAACAGCTGATTGTCAGTAGGGCGATCCTACCAACAAACAGCTACTTGTGCTAATCAGGCTGTGCTGAAGCTGACCAGGCTGTTTGCTGTTTGCTGTAAGGAGGCAAATTGCTGGGAGGCAGAGGTCAAAGGGTGAGGGCTGGCAGGTGGGCGGGGCTTCGACAACATTTGCTGTATAAGACGTACACCCACTTTGGGGGAAGGAAAAAGTGCACCCACTTTGGGGGAAGGAAAAAGTGCGTCTTATACACCAAAAGGTATGATAGTACTTTAACAGGGCAACATGCCAATACATACCTACTACATATATATAACTAAAAACCCTCTGTGGAGCAAGCAGGAATTTAAGAATGGCCCTAACTCCATTCCTAAGAAGTAAGTGGGAGACAGATTAGAAAATAGAGAATAACTTGAATATATTATAAGTGTAAAAAATTGCCCAAAGATTAACGTGCTTAAGAACTAACCATTTGCTCACTTTTAAAAATCAGTAAATAAAATAAATGATAAAAATATGATAGCAATTAAGCAGACACGTCTGAGATAGATTAGGATAGACTTCATATATCTACTTACGGATAAGACAACCTCCTTAAATTGAAATCTAAGAAGTTATACTAATTCTCTTAGTTTTCTCATAACTTTTAAATATTGAGACATTTTAAGAAACCTAACAGGAACATATATGAACATCACTTCCACAAATATAATGTTGAGCATAGTCAACAACTTTTATTCTGCCATTGTAAACTATATACTCTCTTTTGAAATACCATTGTGATTATATAGATTTCTTTCTCAAAAAGCTTACCTGTTTTGTTGACTTTTTAAAGCCATTAAAAATTTTCCAAGCAAGTTTGTTGCCACCACTAGCAATGTGCCGACCAACATCAAATTCCCTGGTTACAGGATTTCCCATAACTGCACTTGTGACATCTGCAGTCACTTTTGTAACAGTGCTCTTTAATTTATTTAGCATCAGCTCCATTGTTATGACAATTCTGCAGTACGTTTGCCTATAAAGAAAATAATTAAAATTGTTTTGGAAATTTTATTAACACATATACATTGTTTACTCACTAAATATATTATTCACTTTCATTATTTAAATGAAAACTTATGCCACGGATAATAAAGAATTTTAACATTTTTGTATTCTTTTTTGAATATGAACAATGATTTTTTTTATTCTAACAATTAGCATCATTTAAAGTATATTAAATGTCCAATATTTGTTTGAAAACTTCCACTGATGGAGCACTCATGATTCTAGAAGGCAGACTATTTCACTCACAAGTCAGTTGTATATTTCAAATTGGATCTCTCTTTGGAGAGCTTCCATCCATTGTTTTCTTGGCACTACTTGGAATGAATTCATATTCTCCTCCCTGTCACAGCTCTTCAAATATTGAAATATTGCTATCATGTCTAATCTTAGACTTCTCTTGTTCAGATAAACACATATAGTTCTTTTTACCATTATTTTTAGGATTTAATCTTCAATCTCTTCATCATCTCTGTTGCTCTTCTCTACACATTTTTCAATTTCTCAGCATCTTTCTTGTGTTCTGATAACCAAAACTAGACACAGTATTCTAGATGTAGTTTGTCTAGTGCAGCATAGAAGAGAATGATCGTTTCCTGTAATCTCAACATATATCCCTGTTGATTCAGCCAACCATCACATTGTATCTTTTCAGAATTGTCTCACACTGAAGAAGTACTCCCATTCTACCTTGTAGTACTGATGTATTGACTTCAAATTTGCTAAAATATCACTTGTCTAAAAAATATTTAAAAATATTGAAGAGCACTAGGTCTAGAATAGAATTCTGAGATGTCCCACTGCTTCATGTAGGCCCATTGATTATGTACCCTCAAGTCACTGGTGATTCTTAGTAAATTCACACGTAGATTTTCTCTATGATGAATACCTCCACTAAAGACTATATATTAGGTACAATTGTTCTTACCAATGAACAGCAAATCCTTTTGGTAAAGGGACAATCCATCTCACAACATTTCATCACATCAAGAAAGACTATAGTCAACTGTATCAAGTGTCTCACTGAAATTTAGGTAGAGTAATCTGCAGCATTCCCTTGGCATACTAATCTAATCACTTTGTAAAAAAAAAAGTAAGATTGATGCTAAGCCAACAGGTCTGTCATTTCTATTTTCCTTTTTTAAAAGTATGGAATAATAGCTTTTTTCTAATCTTCTGTTACTTCCCCTGCACTTTAGAAATACTCAAAAATTAGTCAATGATTCTTTAATTTTAACTATAGTATTCTCCTTACATCAGCGCAAGAAATTATGCTTCAGGAAATCCAGCAACATTTGAACAAACAGTTCAATTATAAACAGATATGGGTTACATGATTTATAGGGCAGCATATTTTGGATGGTTGAGGTTGTATTTGATAACGGATTAGGGATGACATGATAGCAGTGTTCCAATATTTGAGGGGCTGCCACAAAGAAGCGGGGTGTCAAATCTATTTTCAAAAGCACCAGAAGGCAAGACAAGAAACAATGGATGGAAACTAATCAAGGAGAAATGTAACCTAAAACTAAGAACAATTTACCAGTGGAATGGCTTGCCTTTAGAAGTTGTGGATGCTTCATCACTGAAGGCCTTTAAGAGACTGGACAACCATTTGTCTGAAATGGTATGAGGTCTCCTGCTTGAACACAGAGTTGGACTAGAAAACCTCCAAGGTAATTTCCAATTCTATTATTCTATATTCTATATAATCTATTTCCTTTCATGTACACAAGCTTTTACTGTAATTTCACCATCAAACTTCAGCTATTTTAATTCCAGAATAAAAACATATGCATTATATCAACTGTGAACTTTGCTTTCAAGAAACAATATTTTCCTACCATATTTCCTACAGAAATGATAAACATATCTTTCATAACACAATAATTTCTATTACATTCCATTTGTATTTAATAGAATACTGTCACCAGTTATAGTTTTCTGATATTCAATTAGCTAATATTGAATAAATGCTTAAATCATTCTTAGCATGGAACTGGAATGCTATTATACTTGGATACCAATATTGACTTGTGATGAGATGGGTGGCAAAAACAAATGTGATAAATAAATTTGATAAATGAATAAATATAAATTCTCAAGAAATCAATTAATTGCATCCCTTTGAATAAGGTCTGCACATGGGATAGAAACATTATTTCCTGTTGCAGCTGATATATAATCGGACATTGATGGGAATTTTTCATACTCTTAGTCCTACTATCTCACAGCAGTTAAATACAGGACCATTTTATTCTTTGGGTCACTTGAGAGTTGATTAAGGGTACTGTTTGGCAGTGGTTCTCTTCCTTGCTGAGGGGGCAAACTTGTATGTTATTAGTGGAGAAGATTGAATCTTTGGGTAGTGTGGTATGATGTAACTCAGGTTACAGTTTCCCCATTTCTTTTAAATACTTACATTAAACCGCTGTGAGATCATTTTGGGATTTTATGTCATCATGATGATGAATCTCAATCCTAAGCCAAACAGGAGATGCAGTATTGACCAAGTGCATACAGGCAGTGTGTAACAGCCCTATCAGGTAAACCAGGCCAAGAAACAGGTGCTACATAAACCTCAAACTACTTTAATTGAGACTGACTACCACAACAGAATTTTGCAAGTCTGAATATGCTTCCCCCCTCCTTCTTTTAATTATTGTGTGAATTAGGATGGTGTCTATCTAAGTTATTTTTGTACTCCTCCTCCATCTGGCCTTCTGCAATGTTTATCTACTTGTTACTTTGCTAATAAATCTTCGGTGGACATTTTCATGAATGTATGACTGAATGAAATTGAACAAATTCATAATTAATCTTAATAAAATGAAACTGACTTTGTTACAAAGTTGTTCTAAATTCATGATTGTTCCACTTACTCCTCTCAAAGATGCATAGTGCTGCCAAAGAGCAGATATGCAATGGGGGGTGGGGGTGGGATCTTCTTGACATATGATTACTGATATAAGAGCAGGTGGAGGCTATGGTCAAAAAGCCTGAATATCTGACATTCACCTGATGATTGATATTTTGATATAACAGAAATTGGAATCAGCTTATTAGTTTTGAAAAATCTTCATTATTTTTCATATTACAATGTATATATCTTCATCAAAAAGTTATTTTGAATTGATTTGTCTCTTAACCTATCAAATTATATAAGTGTTTCCCAACCACAGCATCTTGCGTGGACTTCAACTCCCAAAATTTCTTGTTAATAATTCCCAACCAGCTGACTGGGGAATTCTGGGAGTTAAAAGTCCACACAGCTTAAAGTTGCTAAAGATGAGAAACATTAAATCATATTATTGTACCTGGCAAAGATAACTCATTATTTTTCAATTTTGTTCTTGAACCATTGGTCTCTTCTAATAAACAGAATTAAGATATGTAGTGGCACTCAGCATTCTATATAATGTTCTGTTATATGCTCAGGATATGGGGCATTGGTCTTATCTGAGACGCTCCTTCTCAGAGGGTGGAGATAGGATCCAGACAGCGTGGGTTGACTCTGGTCTGCCAGCTTTTTAGACTGAGTTGTTTAAACTGAGGACACGCCTCCTGCTCTCCAACGGTCTCCAGTTTTCGATGAAGTTGAAGTGAGTGGTTGATCACCGATAACTGTCCTCTCCACATCCACACCCAGTCTTCAGGGTGGGGCTGGATCCTATCTCCATCCCCTGAGAAGGAGCATCTCAAGTAAGACCAACGCCCTTTCTCCAGAGTTGTGTCGATACCAAAACTAATGTCCTATAGGTGGGTCTCCGTCTGGTCCTGAGACTGTTGTGCTGGGAGTACCCTTTGCAAGACCAGTCTACTGAAGGCTGCTTCCACTAAGGCAAAGGTGATGAGCCAATAGTGGTAAATAAAAGGCGTAGGCAAGGACCAGGTTGTCACTCGACAGCTCTCCTCCACTGAAGCCTGTGCGGCCAAGTCGCTGTTGTTGCTGCGCTTTGTGAGAAGTACACTGTAATAAGCCTCGGTCTTTCCAGGCCATGCTCCTCATATGCCTTGACAATGCAATCTCTAATCAAAGGCTGACATCTGCCAATGGTCAATGGTGTAATTTTTTTTTTATCCCATTGAAGTTGGCTGGAACACCACAAACATGGCCTCCATCTTCCTGAAGACCATGGTCCACTTCATATATATACGGAGGGCCCACCTTACATCCAACATGTGCCAGACCTTCTCCCGGGCATGAGATGGTACTGGGCAGAAGTCTGGCAGGATCAACTCTTGAGCCCAATGAAAATAGGAGTTGACCTTAGGGCTGAAGTCATGATACAACTGTAGGACTACTCGGCTGGTGTGGAAGATGCATAGATCCTCCCTAACTGACAGGGCTGCCAGCTCCGATATCCTCCTGGCCAATGTGATGGCCATGAGGAAAATCACTTTGTATGAAAGAAATCAAAGGCTGACAGTCCTCAATGGCTCCAAAAGTGCCTTAGTAAGTGCCTGAAGCACCTTGGATAGATCCCATGTGGGAAACCTATGTACCACAGGTGGTTTCAAATTAGTAGCACCTCTGAGGAACCTACAGACCATGGGGAGCAGGGACTCTACGTTTCCGAATGTTAAGACCGTAGAAAGGGCTGCCACCTGCCTGTGAATCTTTGCAAGGGCTAGACCCTTATTAGCCCCACATGCAGAAAGTCTAGTAGTTCAGCCACTGTAACTGAAATGGGGTCAAGCTTCCTCTGCCCGAACACAGGCAGAATGCCCACCAGGTCATGTCATAAACTCTAGTTGTTGATGGTCTCTTGGCTGCCTGAATGGTGTTAATTACCCAGGAGGAGAAGTTATCCCCCGTCAGAATTCTCCTCTCAAGTGTCAGACAGCCAATTGGAGGCACTGAAGCTCCAAAAGGTCTATGGGCCCCTGGCTGAGGGAGATCCTTTCAGGGGGAATCCTTCATAGCCTGGTGATTGACAGGCCAACCAAGTCTGCGAACCATAGACATCT